AGCGACTATTTCACATCCAGTGAAAGGACCTTTTTTATAATTGAAAAGTTGCGAGCTTCAAAGGTCCTTTCAAACATGAGACTATGAGGTAGCGACTATTTCACATCCATTAAAAGGACCTTTTTCATAATTGAAAGGTTGCGAGCTTCAAAGGTCCTTTCGATGGATGTGATCTTCATGAAACTATGAGGGAGCGAGTATTTCACATCCCGTGGAAGGACCTTTTTTATAATTGAAAAGTTGCGAGCTTCAAAGGTCCTTTCAATGGATGTGATCTTCATGAGACTATGAGGGAGCGACTATTTCACATCCAGTGGAAGGACCTTTTTTATAATTGAAAAGTTGCGAGCTTCAAAGATCCTTTCAATGGATGTGATCTTCATGAGACTATGAGGAAGCGACTATTTCACATCCATTAAAAGGACCTTTTTCATAATTAAAAGGTTGCGAGCTTCAAAGGTCCTTTCAATGGATGTAATATTCATGAGACTATGAGGGAGCGACTATTTCACATCCAGTGGAAGGACCTTTTTATAATTGAAAAGTTGCGAGCTTCAAAGGTCCTTTCAAACATGAGACTATGAGGTAGCGACTATTTCACATACATTAAAAGGACCTTTTTCATAATTGAAAGGTTGCGAGCTTCAAAGGTCCTTTCAATGGATGTGATCTTCATGAAACTATGAGGAAGCGACTATTTCACATCAATTAAAAGGACCTTTTTCATAATTAAAAGGTTGCGAGCTTCAAAGGTCCTTTCAATGGATGTAATATTCATGAGACTATGAGGGAGCGACTATTTCGCATCCATTAAAAGGACCTTTTTCATAATCGAAAAAGTTGCGAGCTTCAAAGGTCCTTTCAATGGATGTAATCTTCATGAGACCACGATAGAGCGACCATTCATATCCTCGGGGAGGAAACAGAAGACACAAAAACGAATGACCGTATTTAAGAGTATCCTTTTTTCAAATGACCGTATTTAAGAGTATCCTTTTTTGAAATGACCGTATTTAAGAGTACCCTTTTTTCAAATGACCGTATTTAAGGATATCCTTTTTTCAAATGACCGTATTGCACTTAGTCTCATACGCAGCCGCTATTAGAGTAGTCACGCAAGGTAGTCACTATTTAGGGGAGAGAGCGCTGCGTGACGTCACTAATAGCAGCTGCATAGGAGACTACATAGCACTGTGCCAACATAATTAGTAATGGGGGGACCAGTGCCCCCTCTATTAACTATAATGCCAATAGACCCCTTGCATGTGACGTCAAAGCAGCTCCATCTGGGGGACAAAGCAAAAGAATTACAATCTCTTGAGAATAGTGGAGCCTATTGTTTTGTCCCCCAGATTGAGCTGCATTCCAAAGTGCTGCAAGGGGCCAATAAGCCAAATCGGAGTTCTCACCTTCTTTTGTTTAATTAAGGACAAAAGAAGGTTTTAAACAATAGAAGGTGAGAAATTCGGAGTAAAATCGCATGCGCACTGAAAACGCTTCTTAAACTTCGATTTAGCTTATTGTGAATACGCTGTTACGCACTATTTCTAAACCCAACTGAAATCTAATTAGAAATAACTGAATGACGTTCCAATATCGTTGTTCCAGATAATTTGCAATAAAGACAGTGATTACAGCGTTACATTTGAACCATCTCGTGGAGTATTACAGCCAAGAGAGGCGTTAGACGTGCGAGTCACACTGACTGGTCACCGTAAGGTAGGTATAAATAGCTCACCAATGGCCCTAGATATATGACAACTATAACTAGTTGACGAAATTTATTAGAAAAAAAGGGTTTAGACTGATCCATTTTTTAGAGTTTTTGTTCCTAGCATGGCAGTGGGGGGTGGCATAGGATCTAGTTTTTCATAGTTCTGAAGCTGTAGAAAAATAATGAAACAAGGTGTAATTTGATGGAGGCTAGGCCGAGTAAAGCTTGTCTTGCATATTTTGTTTATATGTTAGTACAGAGACACAAGCGGCGTTCAATATTGTTTTCTTGAAAAAAAGAAAGACTGCGCAAGGGTGTCATAGTCAGCCAATCAGCGTGCACGTTGTAAAAATGTTTGATTACTTTTCTTATTGAACGAACCAATATAAAACCTAAGCACTTGTCGTACTCTGAATGTAACTTGGACAATACATTATTCTACTTTAGGGACTCGTCGAGAGTTTGACAACGTCATGTCACGTGACTGGCATGGACAAGCCGATTTGGTTGGGGATCAGTGCTGACGTCAAAGGATTGAACGTCACCTTTGAAATGCCAAAGATTCTTGATCATCACACGTAAGTCTGATCTTTTTTTTACTTATCATATCGTTTATTAATAGAATAAATGGGAGAAAAATACGGGCTGCATTTTTAGACTCGTGCTCCCGGCCAGAAGCCTGGGGCACGAGTAATTACCCTGTCAGCTATACAACAGCTATACTGGGGTGGAAATTTGAATCTTGAATCGCAAGAAAAGAAGAAAAAAAAGTCCTTGAAATTTTTGCTTTTGAAAGGGTGTGGATAATCTATGTATATATATAAAACATACCCAACCTTTAAAATTTGATTCATGCGTCTAGATTCCGAGTTTTGAGAGATTTTTATTTTTGGAAAATCCGGAACCGTGCATTAGTGGAATGGACTGGACTTCGGTTAACTGGATCGTGCGGATCGTAAAACGTTTTTTACACCGAATTTGCAACTTTTGTTCTATAATTTTTATTTTAATATTATGAATAGTATTTTTTTGGCGAAATCGTGAAAAAAGGTATATTTTTTTATAATTGAAAAACATGTTGGATCTTGGATCTCAAAAAAAATTCCTTTATTGTATGACCATCCACTTACAGTCAACACCTTAGTACTTTTATGTGTTATCAATGTCTATATCACCTGTTATCTGATTCAGGCCTGATGAGATCAAGACAGCAAACATAGACAGCTCTAGTACTAACATGATAGAGTTCGGCAAGATGTTCCTAGGAGAAGAGCGTAAAGCTACAGTAGTAATGACTAATACTACTGCTATCCGTGCTCGGTTCAGTGTGCACGTGAATCACTTTACTGCTGCTAAGCCACCCACTCCACCTGAAGGTACTTGTAGGCTTATTAGCCTTTCCGAGTTTGAGGGAAAAACCGGGTCGAGTTGGCAGTGCAATGCATTTTGGGGCTGTTTTAGTGGACGAAATAAACGCCATCAACGGAAATATGTCCCCTAAAACAGTCGGACAATACACTGTAATGCCAACTCCACCTATTTCCCCCCCTTAAACTCGGAATGGCTAATATCTGTAAACATTTGTTCGAAGTTGAGTCTTTTTGCCATCAATAGAGGCGTTGCACCATCACGTGATAGCAGCCATGACAGGAGGCAGGAATAATTGATTCTCCTCTAATCTGGTTTAAATGAGAAAGCATTCAGTTTCCCAGGGGAAAAACACTATTGTCGTGCTTCCTGTCATGGCTGCCAACATGTGATGGTGCAAATGCCTCTATATTAAATCCCCATATAGAAAAAAACACCCAATCAGAAATGACTATTGAGTACAGTTTGACCAATGAGAATAGAATACTGAAGGCATTTAGATCCGACGATTACGACGGGTGCAAGGGATAAGCGCGAGAAAAATTTCGTTCTCGTAACATGGTGAGCGCAGCAACTACCAACAACCAACCATAATTATACTCTTACTCGTACTTGTCGTCGGATCTAAAAGTTGTTCTACCGAAAATTTAGGGCTGTATCACATGTACACTAGCATTGGATTTGGAACCAGAATCGGAGCAGTAAATAGTATAGGAAACTATATAAACAATTATATATTTGTGTTTTATTTTTTACAATTCCTTCGTTTACTATTTCAGGCCAACCACAGAAAAGAGAGTAAGTAAAAAATTTCTTGGAATGAAAGGGCAATTTTTATGTAGTAAGCCAGTGATTTATTATCATAAGGCCTCGTTTGATCAAACAGTACGATTTTTTATTTCTTTTGTCGTACAGTGGACGTAGACCTCAAGGCCTGTTAACACGTACACCAAACATCGCTAATCCACTCAGTAAGACCGCCACCAAGGCTTATGCAGGTCAGACCAACACTATTCAATAAAAAATTATTAATGTTATTCCTCTTTATATGTCTATATCTATATTGCTCTTTCCTATTGTATAGGAGTAGGTGTACTTTATGAGATCACGCAGCCCCCGAGCGCACTATTTCTCAATCTTATCTGTGCGAATATGGTCTCATTTTTTCTTTCAATTTCGTTAGACCAAGTGTCAGCTTGTCTTCGTGATGGGCGTGGAGCTGCCTTCGTTCCTTCCCCTTCCAGTGGTGAATTACTCCCCTTTGGTTACCAAGTAATAGAAATAACAGCGTATAATGATATGTGGGGTGACTATAGAGATTTACTGATCTGTATGGTAAGTATCGCAATGCAGATTTCTTTATATGACTTTTTCCAAGTCCCGCTCGCTCAGGAACTCTTTTACCGAAACCATCCGAAACCATCTGTCGGAAGTGCGCTTTCCGAAACTTGACCAAGAAAGTCTACCGCTTCTGAGTGAAGACTTGTACCTAATTCCCTAGCGTTTTTTTATTATGCTATAGAAACTGGGTCGAGTTGGTATTGCAGTGGCTGATAGGACTGTTGTAGGGACATTTTTTAAAGACGACATCTATTTCGTCCTCTAACAGTCCCACAATGTACTGTCATGCTAACTTTGAACCAGTTTTTTTCCTACAGCTTGGAATGGGTGTTAGGATAGTAATATCGGATTCTTTATTGATGTATGGCGTACTTTTTTAACTTTAGGTTGAGGGTCTTGATCCAGTATATATACCTATCCAAATGAGTGTGTTAGGGTGTCCCTTGAACTTCCAGATGATGAAGGATCAGTCACCAGTACTCAGGTAGAATATTAGGTTGAGTTCTTGATCCAGTATTATACCTATCAAATGAGCGTGTCAGGGTGTCAGATATAATTGTATATATATATAAGGGTCATTGCAATATATTTAGCAATTATTCGCGGAAGGCGAAGTGAATATCGGGGAATATTTAACGAGACGCGAGCCTTCGAGCGGCGAGGTAAATATTCCCCGATATTCACTTCGCCTTCGGCGAATAATTGTTTTAGCATTTACCAACTTGTGTACAGAGTAACTTATTTTTATATACAATAATTCAATAAAAAACAAACAAACAGAAACTTTTAGTTTGCGTGACAGATTCACGCAAAACTTTTAGCAAAACCTTTAGGCCATACTTCGTTGCCTTTTTATTATTGAGAGGAATGGCATTTACTTTCATTTTTTCAATTTCCTCATCGGAAATTGTAGCAAAACGATTGCCGGCAGATGCCATTTTGTTGCCGACTCAATATTCCGAGATTCAGAGGTGAATATCGTACAGTATTCGCCTCCAATTAACCAATGAGCGCGCGCGTTCTTAAGAAGTACACAAGTTGGTATGAGCTAAATATATATATACCGAAACAATAGAATAAATACTATAAACCCTATAAATCAGAGGTCCTTTTAGCTCAATACCTAACCCAATCCCCCTTCCGCATCCTACGTACCGTTGGATCCGCATTCATATTTCTTGGATTTGAACCTGGGACTACCCAATATTGCCATAGCTGAAGGCATAGACCGTTTTCTCAAGGTTGCGCGCGCATCCAAATTTAAGTAACTTGACGGGCCACGATAACAGAACAGGAGCTTTATAAAAAGAATTATCATACATGTATATGATTTGTTTTTCGATAAGTATTCATAGAATTGATTATTTTCCTCTAAATATAAAACTGGCTTCTCAATTTTACTGGAATTTGCGTTGTTCAATTTTGTGGCCCGTCAAGTTGGATGCGCTCGCAACCTTGAGAAAACGGTCTATTCTCTCCTTTCACATCCCCATAATGCCTTGCGTCTTTGGGGGGTAACCAATCAAAAAGCTGTCTCAAATTGAAAGTTTTTTTAATTGAATTTATACTATACCTGCTTTTATCTGTACAATACTGATTATCAGTTTATTCCAAGTTATTTTTGCGTTTACAGATCATCAAGAGTTTTGGTCTTACAGAAAATGTATTGACTTACGAAAAAGTGTTTAAAATTTACCTTAAACGTCTTCAAGCTTCTATCTTTTTCTGTTTTTTACTTCTTCATTTTATCTTTGGATACCAAACAAGGTATTGTCAACATTGCCTGATCAGCCTTCAGCAAAACAAGTGGGTTTTTACCCTCTGGTTACCCCCCAAAGACGCAAAGTATTATGGGGATATGAAAGTAGAGAATTGAATGTTCCTGCGTTATTGTATTCATATTCAGGTTTGGAACACACGTGTCTGGTGCTACGCCTGTCACGAGGTCTCTTAGAGTGAACAACACCAGTCCTTTTGGTGAGTTACCAATACTTGATTGACCGTCAAACCTTCAATTTTGTCGATATCGTAAAACAGTTCTGGGCTGATCAAAGCCACTGGGTAGGAATAATATACAGATGGAATAGGCCTTTTGCAGCTTTTAAATGACATTTATTAATACTTAATTGGCAATATAGAATTGAAAAACTTAAGTTTACAAATAAATATATATAAAAATAATACAAATATATAAGAATGAAAATATATTTAAAGAAATAATTACACTATATGTAATAAAATCTATTGAAAATTAATCAGCAATCACGTGCTGATTAATTCATCTGAGAGCAAATGAATGAACATCTTGATTCCCATGGGTGAAATATACTGGTGAGCAAACAAAATTTCTACAACCTGTTTCGAGAGATCGTAATAAAACTGCATCGTTTCATTCAGTTCTTTACAAGTAGCTAAAAAGAATCACCATTTTAAAATAAAATAAAGATTTTGCTAGGGCCTATTGGAGAGCATCGCCGGTTGGGTCTTACAACGGAAGGAAATCCGAAGAACTAGAAAAACCCTCAAAACAAAGAACAAACCCTGATTTTTCTTAATTATTCCTCTCCAGATATTCGACTTGACTGGAGTACGCTCAACATTGAAGACGACGATGATCAGCTTCTAGACATGTTGGTCTCCTATGGTCAAGCTCTACCGGTCTTTAATGACAAGGGTGAAGAACTCCTTCCACCGCCACCCTTATGTGACTTCCCTTGTTTTATGCCACCATTCATTCAAGTGAAGCTACTAGAACATGAGGGAATCAGGTCTGATGAACCTTTCCAAGTCCTACCAAGCCAACAGGTATGATAATAATAACTGTACATACTAGGGAACAGGAAGTATAGCTCAAATCCTTTAAGAAACCACGGAATCCTTTTTGTTTAATCTTCTTTCTTGTCTGAAGGTAATTCCGGCTAAAGGCCATGCAAACATGACTGTGACCTTCAAACCAAACACCACGAATCCCGCGGGACAAACGTGTACTTCATTTGCTGCAGGATACATGAGTCTGGATGGACCGGTAAGCTTTATTTGACACATTTCCCTATTGCTTTTTGCCATGTTTCCTTTCCACCCGGTCAAGCCGAACACTTTCATTTTTGGTGAAAACCAGTCGATAGATTTTAGAAAGTAACGCTTCCGCTCCATTTGCCTTCCAATCTGTCTGTCTGTCAGTCTGTTTTGCCTTCGTTCCCACCTCAAGTATACCACTGTCGATGATCGCTCCATCAAGCAAAATTGGTTTATCCTCGGTCAACAGACTGCAAAAAGTAGTCATCCTTCGAATAGTCCCCTTCACAGTTCCCTGCATCATCTTGAAAGGTAGCCATGCCTTTGCATCGAAGTGAGACTAACGGTGAGCTTGCAATGATAGAGACATGTGAATAATTGTCCAAGGTGTTAAAAAAGGTCTCTAGCATTGCGAGCTCACCATTCGTCTCCCTTCGATGCAAAAGCACGGCTACCTTTCAAGATGGCGCAGGAAAGTGTGAAAGGAACTATTCTGCACCACTTTGTCTCTCTTTTTCTATCTTTCCACCTCAAGCTACCGAGAATTTCTTTAGCGGTTCCCACCGTTTGACTTCTGTGTTATCAAACAGGTTCGACCCCCGCCTTTCTTGAGCAAGTATATTATATCTACCTGTCACTCAGCTAGTTTCGTTATTGGTAATTTATCTTGTTGTTCTGCAGAATATCGATATACCAGGGCGTGTAACTCGCAGTCAAGGAATGGATATGACGCCTTTCCGTCTAGATATTACAGCCACTATTCTTCCAGCACTGTAAGTCATGCATTTACTTTGATAAGGCTTGACATGGCTTTGACAACTTGACATTGGACTTGCTGTAATGTTTTTTTTTTTACATCAGTGTAATCTATATGTATATATATATATTTTCCAGTTTATCTGTGGAAATGGAGGAAGATGAAGGTTGTGATTTCATTGCAACAGCAAGTAACTTGGTATGAACTATTTGCTATGCATTTCCTATTCATATATTAGCCTTTCCGAGGTTGATGAAAAAAAAAAAAAAAAAAAATGGGKGGAGTTGGCATTGTGGGGCTTTTCCAGACGCCATCTTGGAACCAGTATGTTCCCTAAATCAGCTCCGGAATGGCTAATAGAGGTTTCGTACCATCACCTGATCATGACGGCAGCCATGTTAGATGGCAGGAACAATACAATTGTTTTACATAAGACAGAATTCAATTCGTGGTGCAAAACCTGATAAAACGTTTATTTTCATTGGAAAAGAGACATTTCGCTAGACCACAATGCATTCTTCATATCAAATTCAAAAGGCCTGTGATAAATGTTTTATCTACGAAGACCTTGCATTTAATAGCTGATCGTTCTCAGATGATCAGAAGTAATATAGAAATTGATATATTAATCTTCTCTTGGATTTATGTTGACAGCTTAATGGCGACTTCACCAAAATCCATCGTTTCATCCTGTCAAATACCTCGGAGACACCGCTGGCTCTAAATATCGCAGTCGATGCACCATTCAAGGTGATGTCATCTGAGCCACCGCCGTCTGCCAAATCCACTCGATCCCAGGCTAACGGTTTAACGATTATTAAACCCGGCAAGAACATACAGGTGAGTAAGGTGTGACAATGTGTCAATGTGGCAACAGCTTATCTCAAATCACAGCAATTTCCTTTCTGGCATGACCCTAAATACTCCATTTTACAGTTTCGTCCAGTGACCATGAATAATAAGCCGAGGATGGAGTTGCGCGCATGATATAAAGAGTATAGTTTTGCTATGCGCGGAAACTCCATCTTCGACATGAAAATATTATTCGTGGTCACTGAACTGAACTGTAAAAAGGAGTAGGTGGCACAAGGATTCAGCAACGTTTTTTTGTCGTTTTCAGGTCAAAATTGGTTTCTGTTTAACCAAGGAATTGTTGTCCAGAGTCGATGAGTTGCCAGTTAATAAAGAACAAGAAGATGGTAGTCTTTTGACAGTAAAAGAGAATGGGGATCGAAAACTGTTTTTTAATCGTAAGCTTGTCGTAGAGTTTTCCAATAAGTCTACTCAGGTGAGTAACTGAAGGTGAAAATGCTACTTTACTGTGTCTCATGGAATAATGGCATAACCAGTAATACCAATAATAACATTAATATCTACATCTTTAGGTCATTCCACTCACCGCATCGGTTTCAGTACCAACTCTTCGCCTGTCCAAGCAGGAGCTTGACTTTGGTACTTGTCTCGTTGGACAAGAGAAAGAAATGCAAGTAGTACTAACGAACCCAACAGAATCATCGTCTGAATGGGTTGCAGTCAAAGGTACGTTTCTCCAAACAGAGGTGGATCTAAGATTTTGAGCTCCTGGGTTAAGGTTTCGTGAAGGTGTAGAGACACCTTCCCCTAGAAAACATTCAGGTTTTTTAGGGATTCGAGTCAGAGAGTCTACTCGAGGAACAAATGTTGCACATGCTGCAAGTGCAGGTTTCTGGAAGATTTAGAAACGTGGTTTCCTAGAAAATGTTCAGGACTTAATAGGATTTTAAGGTGGTGAGTTTGCCTTATACAGGGGCGTAGGCAGGGGAGTGGCAAAGGACAGCCCCCCCCCCCCCTTCGTGACAACGAAAGGGCGGCGTTTTAGAAGTCGTAAAAATAAAACGTAAAAAGTAATGACGCAGGATAGATGGTAGCCGATAAGATGACATAGGTTAATACCGTCTAAAAGGACAAAATGGCGCCTTTTTAGAATTTGCAAAAATAAAACGTAAAATCTTATGTGTTTTTCTTTTGTTTTTTTGTTCAGCGTTTCAGTGGCTCAAACAATATGGTGGATTTTTAAATTTGGGCTTCCCCCTTCGGAAAATCCTGTGTACGCCCCTGTTAGATTCAAATGTTGCATGTACTGATCTGTTTCCACTACACCAGCGGCTGTGTTAGTGTTCTTGCCGAACCAGCAACTTCGGAAAAAGTGGAATTATACCTCCAAGTTTCCTGGGCTTTTCTTTGATTTGAGTCTAATGAATTCTATTTTATTTTTGCAGATCCTCGTTGTCCTCAAGTCAGTCGTGATGTCTTTACTGTAACACCATCAAACGGTCTACTAGAAGCGTATGTCAACCATGTGGCAAAGAATAAAGTATTAATCAGGGTCACTTTCGTGGCAAGGTAAAGACTGCCTGCAATCCCCCCTGTCATAAAGGTTCCTCTATCTGTATCTTATCTTTTCCACCGTTTGTTTGTTTGTTMGTTCATTTATTTGTTTGTTTGTTCGTTTGTTTGTTTGTCCGCAAACTATTTAACAATAATAAACGAGGTCGCACTTATATTTTTGTTGCACTCCTAACATCCTTTATCTTTTGATTCGCCAGACATAACGTGGAGTACGAATGTGTATTGATATTTAAAGGAAGACTCCACGAAGAAGAACAACATGTAGTGCTAAAAGGACGTGGTTCTTACGACGGTAGACATGAGAACCTGGTCAATGTCGTCACTCAGTTTTAAATGACCCTAAATTTGCATCAAGAGTTCCGCGCTCCTGCTTTAAGCGCATGATAAAGGGGTCAAAGAGTGGGACCATGGGTTGTAAAAATTGCTGTATTAATTGAGAGATGAGGCGGTAAGCCGTGTGGGATGGGCTCGGAAATCATAAGAACATGTATGTCTTAATTGTATTTTTCTTTCCAAGTACAGTGTTCATTAAATATTCAATAGCAAGTAGCGTTAAGCTAATTCCAAATCAAATATACCAAAGTATAGCATGGTCCCATTTTTTGCTTCCTTGAGCATGCGCTTAGAGCAGTAGCGCGGAACTCCTGATTCATGTATACGCAGACTACTTTTTTCCGCGAAGAAAAAATCTTTCTTTTTGGTGAATGTCTCTTTATCCATGTAAATAGATTTACCATTACTAAGGCACAACAAGTTTTGACAATTGTATATACATCATAATTGTACATTAATTAAGCAGATTTGTTTCCTATCTGCTGAGAGTGGAGGTGGCATTAACATGAAATACATAATTTTGTTGTATAATTCAGTGTATTCTAAAGGAGAGCAAAATTTTATGTTTATGTGTACAAGAATGCTTACCTCAAAAATGGAAGTTAGTTTCACTTTTGGAAGTTATCTATTGAGAATTTTGCGATTTTCATGATACGATTTTTCGATTTTGTGAGTAGAGTTGTTTGTTGGCTCTCTCCTGTGCTTCGAGGGTTTTTCTCTGGGTTCTCCGGTTTTCCTCCCTCCTCAAAAATCAACTACTAAATTCTAATTCGATCTTTGGGCTTTCATCTAGTTTGGATTCTAGCCTGTTGTGATTGTCCCACGCTGTGATACAACAGCTAAAGCCGTAGTAGATTTTGATTTTCAATCTTGCCTTTAAAATCGCAAGTGCGATTCCATATACCTTTGCTAAACCTTTAATGCTTTTTCATATGACAATACTCTCTTCAGGTCTATAATAAGTTGACTACATATTGTACTTACTTTATCATTCCGTCTTACCTCGAAAGACTAACACATTGATGTTTCGAYATGTTCCAGTGCTTGATATGTTGCAGGACACTTCTCATCACGGCCACACAACAAAGGGATACAAATGGTAGAAATTTTGCATTTCTAAAACAGCTTTCTCCTTAATGTTTTCAGAGTCAACAACTTTCGACTTTGACGCTTGCAAACTAGATAATTAGTGTGATAACTAGTGTGACGTAGAAATAATTTGACTGTGACGTCATTATATGAATACGTCATCATTGCTACATGCGCGCGCGCTCATATTCGTAAATCCATGGGTTTGAAAAAGTCTGCAGAACATTGCGCGATAAAAAGAAAATGATCAGTATTTAAATATTCTTTATTTGTATAAATTGTTCTTTAGAGTATCGATAAAAATTTTTTTAAAATTATTTTTCCACGCAAATTAGACTAAAACTTTGATTTAAAAATTATTTAACATCGATCACGCAATAACTAAAGTTTTCGGCGCTTGAATTGGAACAATAGAAAAACTCGATGTTTTGTCTCTGTCTCCCACTTGTAACTAAGTTATAAGAACGGAAGGCCGTTTCACACGTGTGCGCATTTACATTAGAACTAACGTATAGGAAACTATGAAAAATACCTAGATATTCTAGTCAAGTCGTGTCATGTCTTACTTGTAACTAGATTATTAGAGCGGGATGCATTTCACAATGTATATTATTATTCTTTTCCTTGTGCGTGTATTTACATTAGACATCGTATTCTAGTCCTATAAAATATCTTGAACTATCTTAAAAGCTCATTACGAGTGCGCAAACTATCTTAATCGTAATCCTGAAATACTATTGTATGTGCGCAACTGCCTACCATTCTGGTTCTGTTATTTTTCTAATCAACTAATTAACTTTCGGTACAAGTCTTGCCCTACATTATCTTCTACGATAATTAACGCGCAAAACATATTTATATATTATAATTAACACAATAACTTATGATTACTATTATGTACAATTATGCTAAAAATGATAACTTAGAATTACATTTTTTTGTAAAGAATTACTGCAGATTTTAGATGTCGGGTATTTTTAGAGGCCCTTTCATTACTTTTAATCTACTACACTTTCACTTATGGTCATTTTCTTTAGCTTATTATCCAAGTTTGGCCTGTGTGCTAGTAGTTTAGTTTTCCACAAGCCAGCTGCTGCCTCAACAGGATCATCGTACTCTCCTTCGGTCAACCTAGGTGACATTGTTTTACGGCTCGACGAAGTAGTCTTCATGGCTTGAATAACTTTACCTTTGACTTGGTTCCTGTAGCTGTCCATGACGGGCGCGGATGCAATTCGCTTTGAAGACATTTCTTGCCTGCGGGCTCTGCGTGTTGATGGTTGGGTAGTATGAGGACGACGGCGAACTAAACGTATCCGATATGCAATGGTTAGTAAAAGAAAAAAAGAAAAATATGATGCACTACAAACTCTAGTACCTTCTCTAGGTGCGTCTTTCTTCGGTACAGGTGGTCCTCCATTTATTTCAAGACTACAAGAAAGGAGATAGAATGTGAAAAAAAGCGAAGATTTTGTAAATGACGTCAGCACGGGAGGGTGTAACAGAGGAGGGGCAAAAAATCGCAAGTAAACTAGTTTGCGCCAACGGCCATCTGCAGCCCTGGTGCAAGTTCACGTACTCCCCAAAAAATAAAAAAACGTTTCAAATATATTAATTTACTAGCTATTTCAATTCAAAAATGAATGCATGCTGGCAAAAAAAAAAAAAAAAAAAAGAAAGATTTCGGGGCGCTAATTAAAATAAATTCGACATTAAGCATATTGCCCCAATTCCACATTCTCTTATCGACAAAACGAATGCATGTCTACCTTTCTGATGGAAGTCCAACGCCCTTGGTTTCATTCCAGTCATCAATAAATATCATGGAAAGTTTCCCGCCACCAAGATTAGCCAACAGACTGTCATAGAGACCAGGCGTATTGCGACATGCTACCAGCATTAAACGCTCTGCAGTGCGGTTGAATGACAGGTATCCCAGTGCTACTGCTGCACTTATGCGCACTCCTTCGTTATCAGAGAACAAGCTTTTGAGAAGCGATTCCACAGCTCCTGTAGGAGATAAAGGGATGACAGAGGCGGCAGCCATGTTTATTCTCATGAGTGTAAACCTTTGTTTCACCAGCTTGAATTTATTCTCAAACACTTGAATGCGGAGCCACGCGTGATGGAATCCATTGTTCAAACTAACATGGCTGCCGCGTGAAAAAGACCCATGCTGCGTATGGGTATTACGGCTGGATTAGTTTTAACACAAACACAAGTGGACAAATATAGAAAAAAGATTTTTACTTGAAGAATTTACATGCAAAATAGCCTTAGCTAAACAAACCTGCAGTAATCAGAGCATCAGGGATCCCTGCTCTTGTGTGACCAAGGCTCGCTGTCAGACTAGCGGACAGTATCTGTGTTGCCTGTTCTTCTGAGCGCAATAAGGAAACCAACAGCTCCACTCCACGTGCTGTAAGCGTCACTTGGTCACAGTCTCCTATCACTCGCGCCAGAACGATGATCTGGAAGGCAGCGTGAGCCTGGTGCAGCTGCTTAGGAGATGTCAGAAACTCTTCAAATGAGCTCAACAGCAGACCTCCAGCTTTCTTGATGGCATATTGTTGAGTGGTGTTATTGTAGGCAAAAGTAGCAAGAGCCATGCCGGACTTCAAGCGAACCTCTTGGTCGGGGTCTTTCAGCAAGTGCATTATGTCAACAACTCGAAACTTTGTCTGCTCTGATAGAATCTTTTGTGTGGTGGTGTTGTTCAGGGCTATTTTTCCAATACAGATGGCTGTCTCGACCTGGATAATGATAACATATCTTTCACTCTATATTTTACAAGTGACGGTAAGGAAAATAGCCGCGAGGATGCGCTAAAGAGGCGTGACGTGTAGCGCGCGGGAAAAAAGTGCGGAGATATGGGTGGTTCACCTTGCGTCCTTCTTGCGCAGCTTTGAGAACGAAAGACGCACGTCACGTGGCGGAAAACAAATTTTACTTCCTTTGCAGATCATAAAATACACGTGATAGGGGAAATAAATGCATGTGATCACCTCGTAGACCTTAGAAATGATGAGCCTCATTAATGACTAGTTACAATTCATCTTCTTTAATAGCAGATATCAAATTTAATCTTCAACTGACCTGGATCAGTGATACCCTAGATGTCCTAAGTAAATGCACCAGTGTTATCAAGGCCTCAGCGTTTGCTATTTCTACCTGGGTAGACTTGTTGGATTGATGTGCTGGACCAACACATAGTACCCCAAGCACGCGAATCACCATCAGCAGGACCTGAAATAATACGAGCTAATGTGGTGAAAAATGCAGCCCTATAACTTTACTTCCACGGGAAGCCCACTTGAAATAAAAGTTGTAAATAAAAATAAAACCAAAACAAATCGATTTTCGATGAAAGCCATGGGTCCAAAGTCAAGATAGAGTGATAGTTACCATGAGCAAACAGAAAAATTGTATTAAAAAAATACAAAAAATAGACGCACGTTTGTTTTCATATATACAATAACGGAAATACGTCACAAAGTGTATGAACAGTCCCGTAAGAGTTGGACTGGTAACTAGACCTCCATTCCCTCGGTTTTCAACACAAGAAAGAGAAAATAAGAATCAAAATGTAAGTATTTTATTCTATTTTTCGTTATTTGTAGGAAACATAATACTATAATTCTTAGCTAGTATTGTTCTTAAATCTATCAAGCGCGAATGAGGAATGATTAATGTGGGATTTCTCAAATATATGTGACAATACTTCAACTCTTTCTGGGAATAAGCTTAGTTGATCCGCTCTTTCTGCTTCGGTCATATTTAACACTTTTATTTAAGACAAACAAACAAACAAACAAACAAAACAAACAAATAAACAAACAAACAAACAAACAAATAAACAAATAAATAAATAAACTCATGATGACAAAAACAAATGGCAGTTAAGCATACAGTATAAACAAATCTTGTAAAAAAAATATCTTGCATCAAACACCTGCTTGCATACATCCAAAATTCCGAAACAAACTTTCTAATGAGATTTTATACTGTAAATAAGCAAACTTTATACCTTTTCTGAAGTCTTTCCAGACCGTAACAGCCTCACTAGAGGTTGTACTCCACCTCCAGCTACTATCTTATTCTGGTTCTCTATGTTTTCTGTGCCCAATGCAATCATAGCCATGCCACTTATATACTGTAGTACCTCAGACTTGAGCATCAACATGTCAACCAGTATGTTAACACCAATCAAGCCTGCTATTTCTTGCTGTTGGAGGTGAACTGCTCCAGCTAATGCCCAGAGGGCCCCAGCAGCTGTAAATTWAAAAAAGTACAATAAAATAAGGCGATCTTTACATGGGACTGGGACAAAGTCAGACCGGTACAAACTTGTACTGGTCTAGAGTTTTTGCAGCCCTTTTGCGTGAGTTCAGTAGGAAATTCTGGGCATAGGGTTTAGTAATGTAATGTTTAGTCAGGTTTAGTAATGTCTAATGGGTATATCACTGACCAAAAGCATGCAGGCTTTGAATTGCCAGACCGGTCTGAGATTTGTACTGGTCCAGAGTTTTTGCAGCCCTTTTGCATGAGTTCAGTAGGAAATTCTGGGTATAGGATTTAGTAATGTAATGTTCAGTCAGGTTTAGTTAAGTCTAATGGRTATATCACTGACCAAAAGCATGCAGGCTTTGAAATGCCAGACTGGTCTGAGATTTGTTTGCATTTACAAAGAAGTCCCCTATGTGGTAAATCACCCTCATCCTTTGTTGAACATTTTATTCAAAATAATGTTCATTGAAAAAGAAGGTTTTGGTTACTTGATACTCGAAAATGTCTCCAGAAATTTTAATTTTCATATGAGAAGGAAATTTGAACAAAACACAAAAAAGTATCATATGATGTGGATGTTTTTTTTATATCAAAATACGAAAGCGCTTGCCTGTCTGTTAATAACATTCATTCAGCTACATGTGCAAACCGTAAACAATCCTCAGAAAACATAAAGATTTGAGTACTAATATAAGCGTTTGTCTGTTGGTGGATGGCCAAACAATAGAGTAATTTTTTTGAGATCCAAGATAATGATTCTCATTATCAAAAAAAAAAAAAAAAAAAATCAAGTTTTAAAAAACCTTTCAGCATAGAATTACTAGTTATGAATATTAAAATAAAGAATATAGGATAAAAGTTGCAAATCCTGCATTAAAAGCTTTTTTCGATCCGAAATCCAGTTAACCGAAGTCCAGTCCAGTCCAACTATACGCGGTTCCTGATTTCCAAAGTTTAAAAATCTCTTAAAACTCAGAAATTAGAACCCTAAATCTAATTTTAGAGGTTGGGTATATTTTTAATATACATTACGATTATTTATATCCTTTTAAAAGCTGAAAATTTGAGAATGTTTTGTGATCTAATTAAGTCAACCAGTCCAGTCCAATCCATCACTACATGATTCCGGATTTTTCAAAACAAAAAATCTCTCCAATTCAGAATTTAGAACCATAAATCAAAATTTATATTTTGATATGTTTAATAATAAACATTACAATAATTATCTACACTCTTTTAATATCTGAAAAAAATTCAGACCAAAATCAAGTTTTTAAGACTTTTTTCCGTACATTTTTTGTGCCAAAACTCACTACTACAGCTGTATCTCTATATAGCTCTATCTAAATGCAACTGCAGGTTCAAGGGCAGCATATAATACAATATTATCAAACCATGGTATAAAAATAATTCAACTGCTGTTGCATTGAATATTACAGTTGTATCTCTGAGCTCAAAAATGGTTTATAACAAAACACACCTTGTTCTTTGACCTCAATAGACCACACCTTTAGCAATCTGATCAATGGCTTTGCTGCTTCTGCCTTCTCTATGATCCCTTGTGCATCTGGATTATTTTCTGCCAGTGCCTCTAAAGCACTAGCTGCCTTCACTTGGCACAAAGAACTTGTGTTTCTCAGCTGTTTAACTAATGGCTTGACAGCCCCCTTTGCAATAACTAGATTTTGGTTCTCATGGTGATGCTTGACTAGTGCACTGAGACAGGCTGCAGTGTTGGCTTGAAGTCTCTTTGAATATGTTCCTATCAATGAAATATCACTTTTTAATATATTATCRGTATCATCTGATGGCAATGAATCTTGTTGTCACCATCGTTGTCATGACAAATTGTCTCCTGATTAAACAGGCTGTCTAACCCAATTTGGAGGCATAATGAACAGTACTTATCCACTGAGTCACTGCCTCTTTAAGTGTAAACTGCGCATTTGCCTGTGGTGTCTCAATATGCAGCCTGAAAATCATCATCATTTGCATTCATTTCATCAACGATGTCATCATAAAGTAATAATCATACTATTGTAAAGTAATAATCTTCCTAATTACCATGATCATCATGCGCTACCACCACCATCATCATCATCTTTACCAGCAATATCATTATCATTACCACAGTCATCGTCATCATCAGCATCCTCACTACCACAACATCAATAACACCAGCCATCAACATCACCACCATCATCATTACCATAACTACATATATCACCATCATCATCCTTATCATCATTGCTATTTTTACTACTTGAACCAATGACTGTTGGATGGCATTGCACAAATAAATATATTGAGCTTTTAATATGCTAATTTATAAAATATTAGTATATGATATAATATACACTCAATTGAAGAATCGTTGTCGGGTTCAGAAACAGAGAACATAAAAGATGAGACTGAAATGGCACATGGGAAATGACATAATTATATTATAATTTATTCATTTGTGCCATCCATGCAGTTGGTTTAGAATGCCAAACGCATATTCCGAAGACCTGCGTTTGAGAGCCATTTGCCAAGGGTCGCCGGTCACAGCATGCATCTAATTAACGTACTTCCCATGTGCCATTTCGGTCTCAGCTTCTATGTTCTATGTTTCTGAACCCGATAACGATTCTTCAATTGAGTGTATAAAATATTATTATGCTGTATAATATGTGCCTAGAGCGACAGTACATGTCACTTGAGGGCATTCTCCACTCATTGCTGAAAGCACTTTGAAATTTGCTGTAATGTCATGAAAATGGGGTTGATTAAACGGCAAGTAAACCTGACTCACAACAGCTTGCTGTGAGTGGTTTTTAGTAATGAGTGGAGAATTGCCTTGAGAACAGGTCATTCTCTACTTACCAAGAAGATCTATAAGAATTTCAACTGCATCACTGTTTGCAACTGTGGTTTGATTGTTCTTGTGTTCTTCCACCAGAACACGAATGGCATTGACAGTATTAACCAACACATGCTCCACTTTTGATTCCAATAAACTAACAAGAGCTTCAACACCACCTGAAAAAAGTGCAATTTAAATAAATAAACAAACAAATAAATAAAAGATTTTTTTTTCTCTTTAAAAAATTTAGAAAAATATTATGGGTTCACTGTGCACTGTATTTTATAGGCTTTCATCATATCCTGTTTTTAGGAGTGTATATATAATAATTCTATCCAGGGGCTGTGATACTTTACACCTACTGTTTCATGCCAAAAAATCATCAATGATAAGAACAAGGAAAAACCCAATAGAGTTGATGGACCCTTCTACATTATATTCTGACTTGCATATGCTGCAAACATTCAGTAGTTTMTACATGTAATTTCTGCCAACAGAAAGTTTACAAATGTATGTGGTTTACATTATTACTGTATAGTACATTACCTTGCTCTGCAATCTTGTCCTGGTTATTGTCGACACAAGCCAAGTCAGCAATCACCACTGAAGCTCTTGAGTGGATCATTACATTAGGAGAACTCAAGAGCTGCACAATAACCCCAGTTGCATCAGTTGCCGACACAGCAACCCTCACCTCTATATGGCTGCCAATGTTGCAGAGAACAGAACATGCAAGTGATTGCAGGTCTTCATTCTCAATCTTGAGAAGAGCAACAAGTGCAGGTATGCCACCAGCATAAAGGATAGACTTCCAGTTTGTCTCCTTGGCAACGGATAAGACCTCCATGCATTTGATAGCACTTTCCTTGCGGCTGAGATCTTCTGATTTGAGCATTCCTACCAGGATATCCCATACAGGGAGCTCTTGATTACTCCATTCAATGAAGTACTCTAAGACATTAGTATGAAAGTGAAGAGCGGCAAGGTGAACAACTCCATTGCCTTGGCAATTGGTAACAGTGTAACATGCTTTGGCATCAATGAGACACTTTATGACATCTAATGCTCCACTTGATGCTGCAAGAAGTATAGGAGTGGACAGGGTATCATCAGTAGAAGTTATCTCAAGAAGTTTTGGCTCTTTGTGCACTAGATGCATTAGGCAATCTACATGGTTATAGTATGCAGCATAATGAATAGGTGCCCAGCCTTGATCATCAAAGATAGAGACATCTGCCCTGTATGCAATCAAACATGTGAGACTATCCAAAGCTCCACACCTTGCTGCAAGGTGAAGAGGGCTGACTCCCTGAGATGAGATGTTGTTGTAACGGCGTACATTGACATCAAATCCCATAACAACCAACATGGTAATCATTTGTGGTCTGTTGAACATTGCGGCATGGTGGATCAAAGATAACCCATTGGAATCTTGTGTATTCAGCCTGGAGGGYGGGAGCTTACGACACATGGTATAAAATATAGCCACTAGCCCTCTGATTGCACTTGCCTGTAAGCCAGCAGGAATTTGTTTTAGCTTGACAGTTCTCTGGTACCCATATCTTTTTTTATACTGCTCGTGAATCTGGAGCTCAGGAATGGGTAGCCTCTTGGGCTTCAGTTTGGAAATTTCATCATAATGAGCATGAATCCACAGAGGATGCTTTGGTGATGATGGATAATACGTCTCCAAGCTGATATTTAAGACATAGTAACTCTTGTTGTCAATCTTTATAGGTTTGATTGGATAGCTCTCCAACATCACAGTATCACTGGTTATTATTTTATTATAGTCATCTGAGGCGGTATATTCCAAGTGCTCTTTCTGGGCAATTATTTGTTCATTGATTTTCTGTGTGCTTCCAGTCTCCCTGTCAAAATATATACCTCCATGAAGATGGAAATACTTCTCAGAACTGTCAAAATTTTTGCATGTGAATTCCTTCCTCAACATCAATGGTGGGAATTCTCTTTCAGTCTTGCATTCTTCAAAAGTGAAAGAAGGAAGGAGCTTTGTTACGTCAGGGACTTTGCAACGTTTCTTGATTGCGACTAAGAATGGCACCATGAAGCTAATGAATTTCAACAAGACTAACAAGCAGTGTATCTCTGCTTTTAATGGAAGATATTTTCTGATGAATTCCTGATGAATGGTTAGTCTTCTTTGAAGTTTTTCATAACTTTGCTGGTCTAGCTTGTCAGACCTCACCACACTACTTATGTGATAATCAGAGTCCAACAGAAACATGTTCTGGTGCTGATTAATTGTCTTCTGTTTGAAAGTCATTTTCAAAGCCAAATCATCAACATTCTTCATAAAGTTCTTCCGTTCTTCAGCAACAGTTAGATCATCTTTGTTGTCAACTGGAAGACTCTCATATGCTTTTGTAAACTCTGGGTCCTTGGAGAGATCTTGAATACCAGCCTCTGTCCAAACCAATTCCAGACTTCGCCGAGTCTCAGGGACTCCAGTCATGGTGTTTAAATTCACAGCCTGCCTCCAACGCTCCACAAACTTTGTTCTTTTATCCTTAGGAAAGTAAGCTCCATGCCACAGGCTTTTCATCATGTAGTCTACCTCAACCATGATCTGACCCACTCTGGTGTCATAGTATGCTGGAGGGATTTGACATGAAGTACTACAATCATAATTCGCCTCCAGACAAATAGAAGGAGTCTGATTCAATACATAAATTCCCATGACTAATTCTCTAACGATTTGATGCATTTCTCTGAGTTCCAAGGGCTCTATTCCCTCCTCGTGTGGTATGAGTACCAAACAATTGTCTAAGTTACTGGATATTTGTATTCCAGATATCAACCCTACTGGGGGGTCCACACTTATCTTTGTATCCTCGGTCGACAAGAGCCAGTCACTAGAATAATAAGCAAGACTCTCTTGCAGCTCATAGCGTTCTATTTTATCGAAGTACGTCGCAGCAACACGACTTGCAGTCAAGGAGTTCATCACGTCTGAAGATGAGCTGGTGCTGGCATTTCGACCCCCAGCACGAGAAGACATCTTGCTATGACCTTCTTCAACAAAAAGTAAAGAATATTCAACTCATCAAAGATTAATGAATTGGAAATGACTTTGCTGATTGCCTAGATAACCACGTACAAGCCATACATAAATACAATTAATTGTTGCGTTATTGTCGGTTGTAAACAAATGCCTAGTTACTCGAAGGTCCTCTTGTTAGGTCATTAGTTGATTCTTCCAGTCGTGCAAATCCTTTGATAGGATAATCAGACTGATGTTTTAACGAAGGGGAAAAAGGTTCCTCACCAAATTAGAAGTGTTTCTTCGATTAAATTTACCCCGAACAACATTTCTTGAAACATCGTAACTGTCATTCGATCGTTCGTGTTGGCATCGAAATGGCTTTCTCGTCAACGACGCAATGTTTGTTGATCCATCCAATGTTGTTTCTCTATTCTACCTCCAATCTTCGTGTTTATCTTGAGAATTTATAATATAAGCACCTGCCAGTTCCTTCGAGAGTCTTAACGATGAGGCCACGAATAATATTGCAATCAAATTTGGCGTTTGGATTTTGCCGTGGAAACCCGTCAAACAAAAGAGTCACGTGACACCACAGGCAACCCAATCTTGTTTTTTAAATCAACTGGATCGATCATCTTTTTTTTTTTTTGGCATTTTCAAAATAACTTTAGTTTTCGCTTTCTTTATAGCTTTCATTACTTTCGTAAGATATTTCAATATCAATTTTTTTTAAGCTGAATAAAAAATGGTGAATAAAAAAGGTGACTGATATGAGGCTCTGTAATCCCTCTCATTTTTATGGCCTGAATAACTTAGCTCATGAAGTCCATTTAAAAATATTACAGGCAGTTTACCTCATTCACCTAGTCAATCTAAGTGTCCCGTCTACTAACCTATTAAAACAACATATAAAGACATTTGGACATTAAAAGTACATATATATATATTTTTTTTTCTTTCATGGTCAGTTGATGTCACTCTAACCTATGATTCTTGATGTGCCAATAGAACAGAATGGATCTAGGAATCAATTCTCAATTACTACACATTTCATTCAGGTAAGAACAGCATTTTAATATAAAATAAGATAATATAACTTATCCAAAGAAAGTTTTCAATTAATTTCAAAAGTAGTTTTCTTGAAAACAAATAAAATACGAAAAAAAAGTATTATTTTTTTTAATCATTAAATTCAATTGATCTTTTTGAGTTTTAGTTTGTTTTTTTTTTCCTTTTCTTTTTTCCCTTTTCTTCATTCGATTTTTTTTTTGGAAGCTTTTTTAACAATTAATCATGTTTTAATTGAAGAAGTGACACTTGGCCAGACAGCACTGTTAAAGGCTGATTCAACTAGTAACAACAAATTTTAGTGAACAAAAGAAATGGATGGATACAGGGGAATACCGCATTATGGATGTACATCCCCTTTGTCATCCCACAGGCTTATTATCAGGCTTAGTATATGTGTGTGGTTGGGATACCTGTGGGGGTAAATTACAACACAAATACTGAATATGGCAAGCCTGTTGGCTTTGTTTATTTTACCACAGGAAGCCCAAGCTTGCTCATATACACTGTACGATTTTTCCTCATAACTGTCGCGCGCAACATGCTGCGTGTAAATCGACTACACAACTTGCTTACTACTGTAAATGGCAGCTAAAACTTGGCGTAAGCATGTTGCGCTCGACAGTTGTGAGGAAAAACCGTACCGTGTAAATCAGCTATGTCACTTTTAAACCCTACTTTTGTGTTCATTCAAAAAATCATTCAAATAAACCGAAACCGCTACTAGCAAACTATAACGGTACAAACATTATTTCTTGCAAGTTTCAAGGTTTTTCACTCACAATTTTTCATATAATGAGCACATAAACATTATCACACACATTGCTTTGTAACGGCTACTCAGAGTCTGGGCTTCCTGTGGTTGACAGATTTCATTATCACAAACGGTTCGTATCTGCATGTAAGCAAAATCGTTTTAACGTCTATCGTAGTAGTGCATTTGACCATAGTTAATATTAACTATGATTTGACAATAGACCTTTCTCGAATTCGCTTAAGTGACCACGAAACAATGCCTCCCAGTCAAGATTCAGCATTTTCCATACAGACGTTCACTGGTCAAATTACACAAAGCATTCAGTCGAGGTTGTAAGGTTCAAATTTGAATAATCCTTTGAAAGTACCTGGGCGCCTCGCTTGAGCGCTTTGTGTAATGTTTGAACTAATGTATGGAAAATGGTGAATTGAACTTGATGAAATACGGCAGTAAATGTAGGAACGCAATAAGTCCAACCTCGACTTGGAACCATTGTTACCATAAGCAAATTCGGAAAAGGACTATTGTCATGATCAAACTAAACGTTACCAGGACGCTATTGGTTACTACATTCAAATATCGATCGTCTAAATGCATTAGATTTCTTTAAATTTTCTATAAATCTTAAAAGCAGCGTAAACTAAATCCAGTTTTGGGTGTGGAGGTTGAGATAGAAGAGGTTGCTTTCATGGCCTAGCATCTCTTGCATCACCATATCTTCTAAGTATCCTTTACGTGTCTTGAAGTAAAGTATGCATTGGGGAGTACTGTCTTTGGATACTACAATCTAAAGGATCCGTAAAGAATCTTGATTCGTTCCTTGTATCGGCGTCATAATTCCACCAGTCTTTCTCTATCACACTTGCTACAAACCTATTTCAATTATTCTACAATGACTAAACAAGATCTATAATCTCTTCGGAGGATTCGTTGCCAAACTTTGTTCTTTAGTCTTGAAGTCAGTGCATTCATTACTGGAAAGCTTGTGCCTCTTTGATGGTTATTGAGCTACAACCTGTGCAGGTTCATCATTGACTGGGAAGCCATTTAAGAGCTTCTGCTTGATGACGTATGCGGTCTAAATTCCAGTGGCATACCCTTGGCTTGGCTTCCCGACGACGAGCCATGCCCAGATTGCGAAGTAGCAGAGTCGAAATTCACGTAAAGATGATCATCATATGACCTCATATTGATGAACTCCTATTGGTCAAACAGAGGGCAATATGTAATAATCACATAGTATTAGGGTCAATCTGAACAGCTCATATAACACTAACTGGCCTTTTCTGAGGTCGATAAACAAGGTGCACTTCTAGTCTAGATTCGATACTAGAATGTTTGTGCCGAATCCAAACCAGAATGCTTCCTGTTCACTCAAGTCTCAGACAGACAGGCCGAAGTAGTATCAACATGTGCACAAAGGCATTTCTTATTTTAATTCTTTTTTACCGCTTGTTAATACATTTTGATCTGCTATCTAGTTTAGGCAAGCTGATCAAGCACGCTTTTTTCGTTGCTTGTATTAGTTAGCAACCCGCTATTTTCATCTCAAATGCAAAGGGATTTTTTTTCTAATTTTATCTTTTTCATTGAGTGGGCTCCCTGTGGCGACGACACGTGAGAGTTTCATCCCTATGGTTACTAATAATGGTCAACATTCTCATGGTAACACCACGCCTTAACCAGCATAATGTGTGCGTTTAACAGTTAACTATCTGCAAGAACATAAACATATGCCTCGACGGGAATAGAGTAAAAATCGTATGATGCATGCCTTTCTGTTTAACCTGGAACAGTTTTAACAGTTTTAATATTAAAATATTCAGTGTTCTTTACGGACATATGATGTTTTTTTGTACGAGCATTTAATGGAGTTTTATGACACCATGCATTAACATATTGTTTGCAGTTAGCATTAACTTATATTAGGTATGATATAGTTAAGTTTTTTATCGTTTTAAGTCAGTACAGTCTCACTTGAGTATCTTCAAGGTCAGATATATCTTCATGCACTGATTAATGTCTGCATTTACGATGACACTCCTCTACACTACACTGAGGCACTGATTGACGTCCACTGTTGTTTCTTGGTAGTTGCCACATGCAAAATATCAAGTTCTTTTGGGATCTTAGTAATAGAAACAAGCCGTATCATCTTCGATGCCAAATGTTCGTTCTTGACTACACGGCTAAAACATGGTGGATATAAATGGCTGATCCGAACCAACAGAACCCGCCGACCCGGGAAATGTTGAAGTTTTGGAATCAAAATTCATGTAGGTACGTTCTTCGTACATCCGCATGCATATGTAGTCCTAGATAAGAGATAGATGATAGATATTACAACTGAATAACGCTGTACAACTTATGCGATTATCGGCCAGTCTGATCGCGGAGTATAAATATTTTGACGCTAGGCGGAGCAACACTGGTGGCCGACAAAGATAACATCGCAACCATCCCCTAACTAATTAGTGACTACTCTTTTATATTTGAGCTACGGAGATACGGAGCTCTGGCCTATTGTTGCCYGAAAATGGAATTTCTCTTAAAAAGAGCACCAAAACTTGATCATGACACTTTAGTTTGTTCATAACACTTTCACAAGTTTTTCGTCTGCACTGTTTCAAACACTGACGCATAAAATATGCTGACGTCATGTCACGTGGTACTTACCCGTTCATCTGCCAACATCTTGGTTAATTGTCGTGACATATCTAGAAAAATTGGTCTTCCTTGAGGTGTAACTTGCCAGCAATCCAGCATGATACAGTATCTAGAGTAGTAATTAATGAATAAATAATTAATGTTCTGTTGGACTTCGTAAACACAAATGGACGCCATCCACCATGGCTGCCGTTTTCAATTCCTTATAGGAAAGATTACAAGCCATCTATATAGTAATCACCAAACACCACCGAACATGGCTACCACTTTTATTGTGTAAGGAAACACTGTAAACCATGCATGGTGCACCTATTCTTCGATTGCACGTTACGTCATCGATAGCGGCCATGTTGGTGCCATTTAAAGGGGCACTTGGATGAAAACGCCCCGATTTTTGAAAGTCCGAATAATTGAAGTATTTGAGGATAATATGACTCAATTATAATTATGGAAATCAGATAAGTGAAAATTTTTGCTTGGGAGCCACTCGCTGTTGAGATATTTTGGGTTAAAAGCGAAAAGAATAATAGGGTTGAATAAATGACGTCATTTACTCACAATTTACATGCTGAATGAAATTGATAATTGTTTCCCACCACTTTTGATTGTGAAGGAAACATGTTGCTTGGCTACTATCTGGGCCATATAGATAAGTTTAAACAAGTTTCAAGTCATTTCCAATTTTCATTGATTTTCTTCCAAGTGCCCCTTTAATAAAAGATTTCTCATAAGCATCCATTTTTAATGGCACCACAATGGCCGCCATTTTTGTGTCTTTTGACTCTCTTGGAAATGCTTGCAACCCATCAATAGCGAGTATATCATCCACTGCTTTTAATCTCTTCCTATCAAATATCATTTGATTACTCACAGTTCTTGTGAGCAGTGTTTTGGTTTGTCCATTCGATATCCATCACGAAGGAAATTGATAACTTCTTGAGAGTTCATACCAGGGTACGGAGATGCGCCTGCGGGATAAGAAGGACGTATTCAGACGATAGAGGGAGGAATTTCCACGACGATTTTCAAGCATAAAAAAGAAAAGCACTTATAATAGTGCTTATGCATTATTGCTGATATTAAGATATTCAGTCTTATACCACTTTTAATAACAACGCGACCTGACTCAACCCAATGCAAGACGTCTGGATTTTATGGCTCTTTTCAATCAAATTCTTCTAACGGTTTGAGTTAGTATTTCTTTGATCACTGACGGCAGACAAAAAACAGACATTTTGAGTTAAGTCAGGTCCCCACCCCCCTTCCCCAAGGCAAAATCCTGGCTTATCCTCTGGAATGGATGTTATATGGATTCAAAATAGTCCCCTCAGTACTTGGGATCTAGCAATATACTCACCAAGTGTTACTATCTCCCACAAAAGAACTCCGTATGACCAGCTATGGATAAGAAAACACAACAGAATTTATCAAAATGATTATTTCAATTACGAAAACCGCGTTCGTGAATTTGGCCTCCAGAGTGGATTTCGAATAATTGCGAAATGCCACCACCCGGCGGAAATATCAGCCTTTAAATCAGTGATAGCGAAATATCCGCTCCTCCATTTACAGTAAATCAAGTTTCAAGAAAATAAGAAAAAAATCTATTTGTATGCTTACACGTCACTGCTGGTTGTTGAGACCCCATCAAGAAGAGATTCTATCGCCATCCATTTGATCGGGAATCGACCACCCTAAAAAAGCAACATTTCATTGATTAAAACATGCATGGTTTTATATCGTGACATACTGAAAATCACTGGGGTACTTAGTCCTCCTTTACATTATCCATCATCAAAATGAGGTGTTGGGGTTGGAAGAGGGAATATGTTTTTTTGAGTGAAGTACGGTGAACCACTGGGGCCCCATTCCCCAAACATTTCAAAAAAGAGGTGCGTCGGGTTTGCGAGAAAGTCGACTATAATGTATGCAAATAATTAAATAGTCACCGACAGGTAACTACTAGGATCCCCTCCTTTCTTTCCCGCAGCATTCCAAAATGAGACGGGGGGGGGGGGGGGGGTTCGTAAAAGACTAATTTTGAATAATGTATCCACTTGGATTCTCTCCCATTCCACAGCATTCCATAATGGGGCGTTGGGTTTTAGAGGAGAATAAGACCTACTTGGCCCTTATCTGGGGTGCTTACCAGACGCTCCGGTTGGAAAACAAATGGCATGTGTCATTCCGATCGGAAAGTTCCGTAAAACGCGGTCTTCCGAGTGAAGTAATCCACTCAATTTCACCGCTTTTTTTGGTTCTATCGCTAGACGCGTGTACTAGTTGTCGGAATTCATAGCTTCCCGCTCTTTTCTTGCCATTAGCAAACGAATTTTCAACCGGATGGATTGGTTACATGTAAATGATAAGCACCCCTGGTTATGTAATGAGCTACACAATTATCTGTCACTTGTTACCTGTGTTTTCCTTGTGTAATGGTCCTCTACATAAATATCTCTGGCAAAACCAAAGTCTGATACTTTGCAAACTTTTCTATTGTCGATCAGAATATTACGAGCAGCTAGATCACGATGAACGACCTGAAATACGAGATCAGTTTGAGAAGATGTTACGGCTTTCCTTCCTTTTAATGTTGCAGCAGAAAAGACTACGGGGATAACTATCTTCGGCAATAGAAATATTTAAACTGTTCCATGTAAACATTGATGGAGCACAATTTTATCTGGGAAAGCAGGGTTTTGAACTCAAGAGGTCCACGACGATCTCTCGTACTGAGAAACATATCCGTCAAATTTATGGATAAAATGTTACCTCTCAGCGGAGTTGTCTAAAGCTATGTGTGCAAGACACCTTAAGGAAAATCAATCCTGAAGTGCCATACCTGAAGTCATAGGTTGGCTTACTAGTCAGAATCATCTCTAACTATGTTGGTTCTGAACATCTTACCTTCATACTTGCTAAATGAGCCATGCCCCTAGCCACTTGAATCGAGAAGGATAAGAGATCTTTGGAAGAAAGCTTCTCTACTGGAACTTGGTATATCTGTTGATAATATTTGTCTTCTATACCACGACAATGGCGAAGGTAGCTTTGCATATCGCCGTATTCACAGAATTCAACAATTAACATCAAAGGATCTTCGAAAAAAATCACAATTAACATCAAACGATTGCGTATAAGTTGGTTTTATTGCAAATGTTGCCTTGCGTCGAGAGGGTGTTAAACAAGAGATCCCTTAATTGTCAACATCGAAGGATCAGTGTAAGAAGTTGGATAGAAGATTCTTTAGGGACGATAGGTTGAGCGATGTGGTTATATGCTTTCTTCTATTCTATGCTTACCTCCTCGTGTGCAACACCCAAGTAATCCAACCACATTAGGATGAGGGTCTATGAGTTTGAGTAAATCTAACTCCGCAAGGAGATCCTTTCTGGCTGTATCGCTATCATTTTCTGTACAAGAAAGACATCAAAAGATCAGTTTATATAAACTTGTCACAAATCTACCTCTATTGTCTTCCGCCGGAGTTGTTTATCCGTTTGAAGGGAAAAATATTCGAACGCAGACGAGAGAAGACGCACCCTAACAGAAATATACAGAGGGAGGGAGAAAGTCTAAGCTCGCGCAATGTCAGAAGGGTCACAAGCAGTCCCTATTTTTCGACCCACACTTTTGGTGAAGTACGATTTTGGAAGTCTAGGAGTATCYTATAATTGGCGTTCTGTGTGAGAATTTAGAAGTATCACAGTTTGGTATTGCGTACTGCACTTCTCACCTTTTACTATCTTTACCGCCACGGTCAGTGACCCAACACATCCCTTGATGCCTTGCGCGTCAGCTTTCATGACCACGCCAAAAGCACCAGAACCCAGCACAACTGTGGACCTGACTCGATCCCTAGGAAACTCCCATCGGCTGTTCGATAAAGGATTGGCTGTGGATTCTAGGCTGTTAGAGCTCGGGCCATCTGGTACTCGTGTTTGAGATGGAAGAAACTAAATGGGATAGAGTTGAAAAAATCAATAGATGGCTTCCATGATTATTTTGCAATTTTATCTTGCTTCTGTTTCCAAGTAGTAATCGGCCATTTACGAGTACATTTTAGAGATAGCGGACGTAATTAATGCATTGTGGCCTACTTTGGCGTACAAGCATCTTTAGTTCGTTTTGAAGTTATTTGTACCTAAGCTAGACCAGAATGCACCCTGTTTATCGAACTCAGGAAAGGCTTTTGAGGGTACAGTGACCTTGCTGTTAGTGCAAAAACGTTTTTGGTATCCAACAGGGAAAGAAAACAAAGCCATGGCCCTTAGCACAAGGGTTACCCTACCTTCATATATTTATATTGACTATAATAAACTTTACTTTACGCGGCGGCCATGCTGACTGGAACAATAGATCCCTTTAGAATTAGCGTTATGTTTTCCTATTTCAGACCATGTGTCATTCCCTAGAGTATTATTTCTTTTTGTAACGGTTGAGCATGAGAAGGTTCATAAATATGGATATATACGACCCCAACAAACCCTATCTTATTCTTAAGAGAATCAAATCAAATCATTCTTAATTTAAAAAGCGCAGGTTTGGGAGAAACGCAGTCGCGAGGCTGATGTGGACCTGCCACATCTGCCACATCTGGTCTGATATTCGAAAACATTACGCTTAAGCTGGCTTAAGAAGTTTATTGATTTTCCCTGCGTGGCCTCACATTCAAGCGTTTCAAGACGAGGTTACGTGGGTTTAAACAAACGTTTTTATTCTCATGGGAATAAAAATGGCGCAGTGTGATAAAGGTCCATTCTAATTAAAATATTTAAAAATCATATTTATTAGAATTACTTATCTACGAGAAAGTCACTTCACGCCCATGCATCACTTCACGCCCATGCATCACTTCACGCCCATGCATCACTTCACGCCCATGCATCACTTCACGCCCATGCATCACT